TTATTGAAAATACCATGGTTTGGGTCAGGCACACCTTAGTCCTCAAACTGACATCTTTGTTCTTCAACACTTTAAAGAGGTCTTGTGTAGCAGATTTGCCTAATGTAATATGTTGTTTAATTTCTTAACTGCTGCTTCCATGAATGTTGATGGTTGAGCTGAGCAAAATGAAGTCTTTGACAACTTCAATCTTTTCTCCGTTGATAAGAATGTCCAGTGGTGAGGATTTTTGTTTTCTTTACACTAAGACGCAATCCATACCAAAGGCTTCGATCTTCTTCGGTAAGTATTTTAAGTCCTCTTCACTTTCAGCAAGCAAGGTTGTGTTATCTGCACATCGCAGGTTGTTAATGAGTCTTCCTCCAATTCTGATACCAGCTTTTCAGATGATTTGCTAGGCATACAGATTGAATAAGTGTGGTGAAAGAATACAATCTTGGTGCACACCTTTTTTAATTTTAAACCATTCGGTGTTGCCTTGTTCTGTTCAAACATCTGCCTCTTGGTTTATGTACAGATTCCTCATGAGCACAATTAAGTGGTCTGGAATACTCATGCTTCACAATGTTGTCCATAGCTTGTCATGATACACACAATTGAAAGCCTTTGCTTTCAATAATCAATAAGACACAGGTAAACATCTTTCATCTAGTTTCTGCTTTCAGCCAAGATCCATTGGACATCAGCAATGATATCCTTCGTTTCACGTCCTCTTCTGAATCTGGATTGAACCTCTGGAAGTTCTTTGTATTCTTGCAGCTGTTTCTGTATTACCTTTAGTAAAACTTTGCTCACATTGACTGTCAATGATATTGTCCTATAATTTCTGCAATCCACTGGGTTACCTCTCTTTGGAATGGGCACAAATAACAGTTCTCTTCCAGTAAGTTGGCCAGATAGTTCTCTTCCAGGCCAGATAGTGCCTCCTGAGCCTCCTCACTTTCTTGAAAGATTTCCATTTTTATTCCGTCAATTCCTGGTTGCCTTGTTCTTTGCCAGTTCCTTCAGAGCACCTTGGACTTCTTCCTTCAGTATCATTGGCTCTTGATCATATGCTACCTCTTGAAATGGTTGAACATTGATCATTTCCTTTTGGTACAATGACTCTGTGTATTCCTTCCATCTTCTTTTGATGCTTTCTGAATCATTCAATAATTTGCCCCGAGAATCCTTCAATAATGAAAATTGAGGGTTGAATTTTTTCTTAAGTTCCCTAAACTTGAAAAATGCTGAGTGTGTTCTTCCCTTTTGATTTTGTAACTTCTGATCTTTGCACATTTCATTATAATACTTGATGTCTTCTGACCTTTGAAATTTTCTGTTCAGCTCTTGTACCTCCTCACTTCTTCCATTTGTTCTAGCATCTCTACATTGCTAAACCTACTAAATATTTATTTGATTTCTACAAGAAATTAAGAACTCTAGGTCAAGTGAATGGCTGTCTAACTTGAATCACCAGAATAGAGAGTCATGGCCTCTTAATCAATTCCCAGACTTGAGCCAGTTACAGACATTGTTAATTGCCATTGAATCCACACCATGCCATAGCGACCCTATGCACAATAGAATGAAATAGTGCCCGGTCCTGCGCCAACCTCACAATCATTGTTACACTTGAACTGATGTGATAAAATGATGGGCTGACCTTCTAAAGACACAATAACGGCACCAGCTAGGTGTCAATGCCTTGCAGGGTCTGGGCAATGTTATCAAGGAGGCTGTGTATGCTCTAAACCAATATCTAATCCATGGTGCTGTTTCTCCAATTACCAAGATCCACAGGTCCAGAATCCCGGAGTAGAAATGGAAATGGCACCACTCACTTTAACAACTCGTGACCCACTTGAAAATGTTTGCTTCCTGTCCCTGTGATCTTATGCTTTTCGGGTCTGGACATTTTTGTTCCAAAGGAAGGAATACTCCCACCTGGAGACACCACACTGATTCCATTGACCTGGAAGTTATGAATGTCCTTTGGCCATTTTGCACTCCCTGTGCCTCTGGATCAACAGGCAAAGAAGGGAGCTAATATATTGGGTGGTGTGACTGATCCTGATTACCATGAGAAATTGGCTTGACATTACATAATGGTGGTAAAGAAGAATATGTGTGGAATTCAGGAGCTTCCTTAGGATGTCTTTTGTACTACCATGTCCTGTGATTAAAGTCAATGGTAAACTATTGTTAAGTGTCTTTGAGTCAGTTCCGACACATATTGGCCCTGTTCGGATTTCCAAGGAACGGCTGGTGAATTTGAACCACCAACCTTGTGGTTCCAACCAACCTTTTGGTCCAGGACATCATCCCCACAACACCATATCAGGACTCCAAATGGTAAACTACAGCAACCCAATTCCAACATGAGTACTAATAGCCCAGATCTTTCAGGAATGAAGGTTTGGTTTGCACTACCAGGGAAAGAAGCACAACCAGCTGGGGACAAGGGGAATTCAGAATGGATAGTTGAAGAAGGGTAGTTCTAAATACCATCTATGACCACATGACCAGTTGCAAAAACTAGGGATGTAATTATTATGAATATATATACATATATCTGTGTGTGCATCAAATATTTTTGCTTTGTTCATTTGTGAAATATAAGATGTAAATGGAGTCAATGTGTTTTCAGTTGTACATATTGTAGTTGTATCATCTTAGGTGCAAATATAACTTTTAATCGTCTTTATTTAAAGATTATGCATATGGTTTATAGGTGCAAAGTTGACAAAGGGTAGACTATGTTAAGGCTTTATGTCAACTTGACTAGGTCCGGATTCCCAGTGGTTTGCCTGTTGAAATGTGGTTATCCCCATGATGAGATTTAATACAGTATAGTTAACTCTATGATGATTTGCTATGAGCAGCCAATCAATTGAAAGGATGTTTCCTTGGGGGTGTGGCCTGCTTCCAGTATAATGGACACTCAGGCAAAGCTTGCTTGCTTTCTGCTGGGTCTGAATCTTGCATCTGGCTCACCCTCCAACTTCCACTTCTTTGGACTTGAGCCAGCGGCCTGCTTTATTGTTTGCCTGCCTGCCAATCTTGATTCATCTGACCTAGACTTGTGAGATATTTCATTGATATAAACTTCTCTTTATATATGGTGGTGGTAGTGTGCTGTGGAGTCAGTTCTGACTCATAGTAACCTGTGTAGGGTTTCCGAGGCTGTAAATCTTTGTGGAGCAGAAAGCCTCATCTTTCTCCCATAGAACAGCTGGTAGTTTCAAACTGCTGACCCTGTGGTTAGCAGCCTTGCTCCTAACAACTACGCTACCAGAGCTCCTTTTCTTTATATATTGTTGTTGTTAAGTGCCATCAAGTCAGTTCCAACCCTGCATAGGGTATCCTAGGAGTGGTTGATGAGCTTGAAGCACCAACCTTGCAGTTCAAACTGATTTTGCAGCTTAGCGCATTAACCCACTGCACCACACCAGAACTCCTCTCTTTATATATATATATATGTGTGTGTGTGTATATATATCTATATATACATCTATATTACCCCCACACCCTGGTTTTACTTCCCTAGAGAACCCAGTTTAAGACACCAACCAAGAATCATATACCCAGCAACAGTTTCTCAAATATGACCAGATAAACAGAAATTAAAGGAATTTATAAGAACCAGATAAACTTACAGAAAATACTAATGGATATTCTTTGGACTCAGCAAAAACCTGAGATTAACATAATGATACCACCACCCAGAAGTCAGTCCAGATATAGAAGTATTTACAGTAAAACAAGCCTGCAAGACTATAACAGTGAATCAGAGTTGACCATTTATAATGAAGTCAACTACAAAGCAAAAAGAGGGAATAGTGTAATAGTGCAGATACAGAACTTCCAAATGGCAAGAAAGTCAAGTAGATTTCAAGATAAGCAGACAGTTTTAAACTGGAGAAGAAATTAAGAAATTACAAGGTAACCACAAAGAGAATTAATATGCCACATATCAAAATGAAAAAGAAGAAAACCAGAAATATTTAGTAAACATTAATAGAAAAGAAAACTTACAAAATGAAGTCAGTGCAGAAAATTATGTGGAACAAAGAAACCAGCAGCAGCACACAAAAAAAGAAATACACAGCCAAATAAAACTGATGATCTGCTCGGTAAATTTTTCACTCAATTCACAACGGAGGTTTTAAAAAATCAAACCAGGAAACAGTAGGTCCTCCCATCAAACCCACTGCTGCCTCTCCACTGTTTTTCCAAAATGAGCACCAACTGGACAGCAAAGGCAGAATTATAGGTTGTGCTGTCAAACAGACTTGGACTTGATCCCCAGCTCAGTCACATCCAGGAGGGAGGACCTTAGGCCTGCCTTTCCTCTCTCATCCTCAGTTTCCCTATCTGTAAAATGGGGTGACATCCAGCTTGTAGTACAAATGGTGGTCCCTTGGTATGGCATAAATTGGGTGCCTGATAACTGTGCCAGTTTATTATGAAAATTCATTGATGGAGATGCGATTGTGGCCCCTTCTCTCTCAAACTGCGAACCCAAGCAGGTCTCTCATCCTCTCTGAGCCTCAGTTTCGCCATCTAGAAGATAAAACTGTGCATGCCAACTGGAGACAGATTTCTGTTGTCCTGGGACCCCCAGCACCCAATGTCCATGCTGGCAGTGATGAGTGGGTCTACAGAGTTCCAAGGAGAGGGTCCCTTCATCCTTGTACTGTGAGATACACAGGCAGTGACACATTAGACATCAAAAGAGTCTTTACTGTTCATGGGGGGAGAAGATGATGGATAAATTTTGGGAAGGGATAGATGAGTGTGCTTAGGGGTTGGGACACTGTGACAGCTGAGCATGACCCCCTCTGTGAGAACACCTGGCTCCCAGGGTCTCACATCTCACAGCAGGCCTAAACCCACCATTGCCAGGTCCAAAGACCCCTGGAGAGATTTCTCCCACCCCTAAAAAACTCAACCCAACCTTCCTGGGACAGGGTCAGCTGGACATGTAAACAGAGTCCTGGGCAACCTGGCACATCCCCTCAGTGCTGTTTCTTGTGGTGGGCCAGGGGACCCGGGGGTGGTGGGTGCAGAAAGAAGGCAGGCCGCCGCAGGCAGCGGTAGGCAAGCAGGTGGGGGCCCAAGGCGTAGAGCAGGTTGCACACGAAGAAGCAGACCCAGGCATCCTCGGGCACGCGGTAGGTAAAGGGAGTGCGCAGGTGCAGCGAGGCTCCCATGTGTGAGAACTGCGCCTGCAGCCGAATGGGGAAGAAGGATGTCAGGGCCAGGACAGGGTCAGCAGCACCAACATGCCACCCTGGAGTCTCCCAGATGGCTGGTGGGTGGCCCAGGAGGCTCTTCATCTCTACCTGAGTCTGCCTGATTTACCTGTCTTCCTTCATGACCTGCTGTTTACCTCTCCTCATCTGCCTGTCCTTGTTCACCTCTCTGTGAGCTGCTTGACCAGAAGGAACCATGTTCATTCCATGCCCCACCTATGACCTGGGACCACCTCGTTCCCCAGCCTCCCCCTTCCCCTGGCAGAGGTACCACCGTCCATCCCGCTGTGGAATCTCAAATGCCTTGATATAAATTCTGTCAACTCAACCCACCAACATCCTGGGCCCAGGCTTTATTATTCCCACCAGGAACTCAGACACAGGGCACAGCTCTGATGGGCTCCCTGACGCTCAAACAACTCCCATGCCTCCCCAGTGCCCTCAGCACAAGTCCTTAGGCTGAGGTCTAAGCCCTGAGCATCATTCTAGCTGTCAATTTGTCTTATCTCTGCCTTCACCCGCGTTATAGCCCCATATGAATTTTTTTTACACTATTCTCACTCCTGGAATGCCCTTCCCTGCGGGGAGAACTCATACCCATACTTCAATGCCCAACTCCTAAGCATCCATCCCCTTCTAAGAAAATTCTTCCTCTGGATTCCCCTACTCAGCATGTTTCTCCGTCTCCCCAGTCCTGACCCTATGAATTTGGGCTATCTGTTTCTAGCTCTGTCTCCCCAGACTAGGGACCCCTCAGTAGTTGTGCCAGGGGCTGATGTCTCTGGGAGGTCCAGCATCAACGTATCCAGGCACCAGCACAAAAGCAGGTGATGAGCAAGCAGAAACCACTGCCCTGATGTGCCTGCCCCACCCCAGCCTCACCTGGCCAATGGCTCCAGCAAACACCAGGGCCCAGTCCGGCAGCCAGGAGCAGCCAGGGAAGATGAGGGCGTAGGTAGCCAAACCATAGAAGGGCAGCACGTAGAACATATATACAAGCATCTAGAGGTACACAGCCCAGGGGATGACCAGTTACCTGAGCCGGGTCTCCCCAGTCACCAGAGGGGAGGGACCCGGCTAGAATCTAGCCAGCCTCAGACTCCACCCAGGATGGGACCCTGCCCGCCCAGCATCCCATCTTTCACCTGTGAAAACAGCTCCCCTAATTCCCTTAGGGACCCACCCTTCCCTCCACACACTCAGACCACATGGTTTGGATGGAAAAGTGCCTACCCCTTTACTCCAGAAGTGGTATATAACCTTGACTTGGCCAATTAGGTACTCGAGCTCCCTTGCCACAGCTAATGATTGATTGGCTACAGGATGTGCAAGTGACTCAAGTTGGACCAATCAAAGCCTGGTTGAGATTTGTCCTTAACCTCTCCCAAGATAATAAAGTTTTTTTTGTTTTTTTAAGAGCTCACTATATTTCTGGGTGATGGACTGCGGTAGATGGAGAACTCTACAGAATGGCTGCTTGGGAAAGAAACCCATGGTAAGAGACAGATCTGCTTATGAGCTACTCAATCCAGCCATGCCTGAAACTCAAATCTGTACTTGTTAGCTACATGGTTTCACCAATTTGACTTGTGTTTCTGACACCTGATTCTAAAGAGGTTCAATGGAGCCCTTTCCATGGGCAAGAGTGCTCTCCTCCCATCCTGCCTTCTCACCTGCACCTTTGGATAGGCCACGGGATCCCGCAGATATGGCTCATACTGGTAGGTGTAGACAAAGCAGGCATCCGTAGAGCAGTCTAGTACCACCTGGGGCAGAAATAAAATATACCCTACCACATTCCTCCAAGGGAAGTCTCCCCCTCCCTCTCAGGTGGGGCTCATACCCCTCATTCTGGACTCCCCTGCCCTAGGTTTCTCCTGCTGGCTGGGAATTCATAGATACCAGGGATAAGGCAAGATGACAGGGTCTTTGCCATGCAACACACAGGTCAGACTCGATAAAGAACTTCCCTGGGTAATCAAATGGAAAAGCAATTTGATAAAGGAACAAGCTGGACAGCTAAGACTCACCAGGCCTCGGAAGAGGGTGAAGAAGCCAGCCAGGGCGAGGTATATGATGAGGGCCAAGTCTACTGGGCGCTGCAAGAGGCCCTTTCTCTGCTCTTCTTGCACCTGGCATATGAGAAAGAAACAGAGACAGTGTGATTGGGCTGGTATGCAGCAGGGATTCAATAAAAGCTGTTCTCTTCCTTCCTGACAACCAAAAAGACCCTTCCATGGAGCTCTAGAAAGAACTCAAACCAAGGACATTCAGGAATGTTGAGACCAGGCACTCACCAAGTTGGGGCTGCAGCAGGTGGGTGCTTGGGACTGGTTGAAGACTCTCATGCCAGCCCAGAAGGGGACCAGTATGTATGGGATGGTGAGGAAGAAGGCAGGCCTGATCTCTGAGCTGTATTTGCCTGTCAGGGTGAGGGAGGGTATTGTCACTCAGTGAGAGTCTCCAAGGCCTAGCTAGCCCATTAGCCAGGTCACAATAGAGGCCCTGGTTGAGTGTCTTGATTCAGTTACTTCAGCTCTAACACCCTCCATGGCTCCCTAGTGCCCATGAATTAATGTCTATTTGAGAGCCTATGAACCTGCCCTTATTTATCTTTGGGCTCCAGTTTCTTCTAGAGCTGGTTTGCAACATTGGGAAGTTGGCTGGGTCAACACAGTCTACATTTCACCTGTTCTTCATCTCACCACTTCTGAGTACACCTGAGTTCCCAGGACCCTGATAAGCTCATACCACCCCCACAGCCCAAGTGGCCTGCCCTACTTGTCCCTATTTCCCAAGCCCTCCCTATGAAGCTTTCACTATGTCCCCAGAATCCACCCTAAAAGTCCATTTCTATGTCAAGGGGCCAAATCTCTGGGGCCAGGAGCCAGGGGCTAGGGGCCAGGAGCCCAGGGAAGAAGTAGATTCAGGATCTCCTCCCCCAAGAAGAAAAAAGAAGGGGGCACACTTGGCTGCTGGCTAAGAATGTGGCTGAACAGGCATTGGAGAGAAAGGATCTCTGCAGATACTGAGAAGGGCACAGAGGATGAAACGGAGAACTTCTAAGCACAGGGGCATAAAGTCCCTAAAGCCAAGGTCTCACCGAGGATGTTTCCTGGAAGGAATACCAAGATGCTCATGATGAAGGAGCCCAGCCAGTAGAGTCCAAGGTTCCGGTACCTCTTCCTGGGTGGGAGATCATAAGGTGGCAGCAGGTACTCACCCTTTGGTCTCAGAGCCCTCTCACCAGGGCCCCATTCTGCCCAGGATATAAGGAACAACAGGGGGACAATGGGGGGAATGACGAGTCAGAAGCCTCCATCAAAGGACAGAGGTAGCCACCTAGGCACAGGTGCCAGCTAGGCACTTGACAACAGTCCTTGAAATCTCCTTCTGGCCACTTCAGTCCCCTCCCAGGCTGGAAGCCCTGCACAAACTCCTGGCTCCAATCTGGCCTGACACCCCACCCTGAGGACTCATTCGACCTCCCTCCAGGTACTCCTCCAACCTTCTGTGAATGGCGCCAGCCATAGCCAGGTAGAGGAGGTAGTGAACAGTGCCGTCCCAGTAGCAGATGAAGACACCATGGGCTGTGCTCAAGTAGGGCTCACCCTGAGGGATTAAGTGTGGGTCTCAGGGTGGGGAGAAGGGGACTGTGGTCTCCCATGCTTGCCCCACACTTACCTCTCTGGTGTAGAATTCCATGAAGCCCACCACATAGCCATCTTCCTGGAGAGAGATGATAAGGTCCACCATAGAGGTGAAGGCGAAGACTGCGAAGACTGCAGAAGAGTGGGCGGAACATGAGACCTCAGGTGTGGGCAGAACTAGGGCAGGTCCAAAGGCCCTCAGAGCTCAGACCAGGCATGGATGGGAGTCAGGCTGGATGGAGCAGGGACTAGATTGGGTATGTTTGGGCTCTGGCAGGGCAGGAGAGGGCCAGACTAGAAGTATGAGGGTCTGGGAAAGGAAGGATCCCAAAAATGGGTGTGGGGGTGACTAGAATGTAGGAGGACTGGAACAGGTGTGAGGGAATCAGACCAAGTATGTAAGAGCTTAGAATTACGTGTGGCAAGGCTTGGGCCTGGGGATAGATGTAGCTCTGGGCAGGTGTGGGCAGGGCCTGAGACTACTGTGGTCAGGAATGAAGATTCCAGGTAAGGACTCCAGGTCCTCCTCACTGCTCCCTGTCACATGACCTACGGACCTGGCTCATTCTGCTTGTCTGATATAAGTCACACTCTCCGCCTTTGGAGGCTCCCAGACTGATGATAGTAGTACCATCGCTGACTTTAGGAGACACCAGAGTGATTGGGAAGCACAGTCTTTGGGGGATTACCAGTCTGATGGTGGAGACACAGATTTTGCTCTCAGGAGCCCCTAGACTTAAAGGGAAGGTTCTCCAATCTAATAGGGAAGGTTCTTCAGAGAGGACCTAGCCTCCTGATAACAGAAGATCTTTAGGGATTTTTCCTAGTCTAATGGAGAAGTCTCTTTGAGGCTCTCCAGTTTGATGGGAGAAGCCCTTTGGTGGCACCAAACCCTGGAAACCCTACTCAGACAATTCCCCTTCTCCAGTACACTTCCATTGACTCACCAGCGTAGAGGGGGTCATAGGAGATGTGGCTATAGGACAAGCTGTAGATAGTTACAAAGAGTAGCACCAGGATCAAAGCACTCATCAACGCCACTCCCAATGGGCTGTGGAGAAGGAAATCAAGTCAGGAAGCCAGGCACAGTGCTAAGGTCCTACCTACCCTGGTGGTGCAAGGTCAGACTCGGGATGGTGATGAGGTTGATGTGGCCATCTGTCCATCCAACAAGGCCGTTCCCAGACCTACCCTTTTCCATCACCAGGCTCTTGACTAGACTATTAACCCCTTCTGGAGCCCCTTCCAGAGTCTCTTTTCCACTCAGCAAACATCTATCTATTCATCCTTCTCAGACCATCTACATTGTCCCTCCTCTAGAAAGCCCCCTGTGACTCCCCAGAAAGGATCATTGGCCAGGTTAAGTACAGGGGGGTCAAGCACAGGGGGAATTTGCACACCCCTCTGACTGCCCAATTTATTCCATCATTAGTTGACTTGCTTATGATTGAATTTGCTCAGTTACTCAACAATGCCAAGCTCCTCTGTGGCCAGGTCCAGCTCCCATGCCTACCTGAGGGTCTCTAGTGATTGGCTTTAGGAATTTCACTCATTAAGACTCCTCCTGGATAAAGTTCAAGCACTTTCATGACTCCACCCCATCTTTGCTGCATCTGGCCCCACTAACCTGATAAGGCAGGTCAACCACATTTGTAGATAACATCAAAGTGTCACTGGGAAATCCTCAACACAGATGGGCAAACTGAGGCCCAAAGAGGGCAGGAGGACTGCCCAGAGTCACAGTGAGGCTCTCTAGGTCCCACCTTCTTGGACAACCCACTGACCCTAGGATTCCTATCCTGTCCCCTTCCACCCACAGAACAATTACAGAAATCAGACAAGAATCCCCCCAGCCTCATTCACATACAATTACTAAACCTCAGCTATTAAAGGATGGTGCGAGGTCTATAATTATGCCCATTACACAGGTGCAGGGAACTGAGACTACCAGAGACAATCAGGTTCATTCAGAGTCCCAGGGATGTGTGAAGGAGGCAGCTAGCAATTCGCATGCACAGAGGCTTAAGCTTGGGTTGTGTTTTGGGGAGTGTGAGGGCCTTGGAGACAACAGAAGCTGAGGCTAAGGGCAAAATAAAGTCCCAGTTCTGAGTCAAGGCAACAGCGGGATCACTTGTTGGGGAAGCCAGGCAGGGCATGTGTGGCAATTGCCTTATCTAGGCAATACTTTGACCCTGGTGACTTTGGATTCTGTGCTTGGTGCATCCCTGGGGAAGACAAGACCCCAGACCCTCCAAAGTCCTGCCCTGTAGGGAGTTCTGTTCCTCAACCCTCCCTCTCCTTAGGCCCCAAGTGGCCTAGGGACACCCATGTCCCTCTGGTCATCTTCCGGGTGGGAAGAGGACTTCCGGTTGAAATGGGGGTAAGGCTCCTGGCTCAGACCCTCTCTTAGGACGGAGCTGGACTGGGGGCCCAGGGCTCGAGAGGCCCAGGTCCGTTTGGCACATCCTTCCTCTGTCCCCTCCTCTGTCCCCGCCCAAAGGTCCAGCAGTCTTCCAGTGCCCGCAGCCCCCAGCCCATTACCTCCCCGCACGCACTGCGAGAGCGCTGAGACGTGGTTGAGCGCGTAGGACACCGGCAGGGCGCTGAGCGACAGCGCTGCAATCTTGCCCGCCAGCGGCGGGAGGTCCATGGCGGCTGCGCAGGGACCTCGGTACGGACTCCTGGGTGCTCGGTTTGGCAGCGCACCTGGGAGGGGGGCCCCGCCCCGCACAAAGGTCGACCCCCACCCGCGCCCGGGCGCCACGGTAGCCTGCAGGTCCGCTCCTGGGGAGCCTCCGAGACGCCGCGCCCCGCCTTCCTTGACGGTGACCCGCCTCTCTCCCCTCCCCCTCAGCGCGGCCCCTCCCCCCTGCCTCTGTCCCCCAAGCCCGTTTCCAAATCAAAAGCTAGAAGACCGCGCGGGACACTTGTGCTCAGTTGCCGTGGCTGCTCTGGGCCTCCGGCTCCCCAAGTTCGTTCTGGGCGTATTCGTTCCTAAAGTCTCTCCTGCTCTTAGGCTTCCTTGTGCCCTTTGTCCTAAGGTATTAGCATCTCGACCCGGAAGGCGATTCCACCTCCGGCAAGCCCCACAGCACCCCCATCCATTCCATTGGATCATGAAGTGGTATGGGTTTAGAACCCCATCCCAGAGCCTAAATGAGCCTGTTTGAGTCTTATATCCTAAGGCCACCCTAAACACCATGTTGGGATTTCTGAGATTCCTTACATGGGGCTCTGACACCACAGAGGCACCAGGCATGAGGGGAAAGGTGAGGTGGAACCAGTTGGTGAATTTGGGTAGTGGTCCTGGAGAAAGAAAAACAAGGCCACCCACAGGGATGGGTTTGGGAGACCCCAAACTCATGTAACCAATGGGGACGGGGTCAGCTTATAAAAAGAGGGATGTTGCTCTCTGATAGGTGTCATGGGAGATTGGACCTGGCCAGTGTGGGAAGTCACAGGATGTGGCCGAGTAGGTAGGGTCCTTGTCCAGGCTGGGTCCCATGTAAGTATCGCACTTCTGTTTTTGTTACTATGGCTATCTCCATTGCCAACTGTGAGCAAGAATTCAGGAAGATAAAACTAATTGTTATAGATTCTATCTTCTATACATATGTATAAGGAGCGTAGTGGTTATGAATCGGGCTGTGAACCTTGAAGTCAGCAGTTCAAAACTACCAGCTGTTCCGAGAGAGAAAGATGAGGCGTTCTGCTCCCGTAAAGATTGACAGTCTTGGAAACCCTGTACAGGGTCACTATGAGTCAGAACCAACTCCACGGCACATAAACAACATACATATGTATAGACCCGCTGGTTCCAGCTCTATGTGAGCTGGATCCGTCCTAAAAGCAAGGCCACTGGAAGTTCGTGCTCCTACAGGACTATAGTTGGAAAACTCTTAGCTCTCCCCTCAGGGCTGGCAATTTCAGGCAGCCTGCAGGATGCCACCCCAACCCCATTCTTCCCATGCCCTGCTGTTTGAGGACCTGGAGCACAGATGGAATGTTTGTAGAAGGGCCTGACTTTGCACACGGTGTCCCAGGCCTGCACACTCATGGTTCCAAGAGCCCCCCCACCCCCCCCAACCAGGGAGTAAAGTCCATGACTGGAGCCTGGTGAGCCTCCCAGGACCTACCCTGGAACTTATGGCTGCCCTGCATTGTCTTGAGTTCCTGCCCCAGTGCCCTGGGTAGTCCCAGGCTGATATCCTGCCCCAGTGTCCTATGTCCAGTCAGGAGACTGGGTGTCTTGAGCATTAGCACAGCTTCAAGTGGGCCCTTCCCTGAAAACTTCCTCCCACATCCCTCCATGGAAATGCTCCCAGGCAGCCTCCTCTGTGATACCCCAATCCTTCCCTGTATTACTGAGGAGCCACATAGATCATTTAGGGGTTCACTACCACCTCCCCATCCAGCTGCGGTTCCTGGCTGACAATGAAGACATGTCTGCAGGCTGCTTGGAGCCCAGACCCATCTGGTCCCTCAGTGAGCAAAACCTGCTAAGGACAGTAGGTGGGGTACCCCAGATGGCTAGGTCTTGTTCCAAGTGTGGCTTGCAGACCCGTGGAGCTGGGGACCCGCTTACCTCCCAGATGCAGTTAAGTACAACTCTGGCTTCACCCAACCACCCTGAGATTCACTGCTCTGAGGCCCCTGAGTGGGTGGAATGGCATCTTTCCTATGACCATCATCAGTAAAGTTCTACATGTTCATCACAGACACTCACTCCCCACCAAAGTCATGAGCCCCATGACCCACTTGTCCACCACTTTAATAAACGCTATGGTGTCCACACCAGGCATAGACCTCCATTGATTGCGTCACAGCTACCAGAGAGAAGGAACCCTGTAGGAGGGTCCCTGGGAGAAATCTGAGGACATGGGAAGAGGTGCGCACTGGGGCTCCATGGCTGCCCATTCCACAGGTCTGAGGGGAAACTGGGCCTTCCCAACCTTTCTCGTCTCCCAGGATAAGGCTGTGTGGACAGCAACCTTTCTCTGTCCCCTCTGTGAAGAGAGACAGAGAGCTGTGTCCTCCCCATTAACCCAACCAAGGCTGAGCAAGGAGTGCAGACTCCCTGAGCATCTTGGGATTCCTAAGGTGCTGGAGAGTATTCAAAACATATCCCATCTGGCTTGCCCTGGCCCCAAAACTAAAGAATAGTAAGGTTGTAGTGGAGGGCAGGACCAGGCTGAGGAACAGGAGGGTGATGGAGGGCAGGTCTGGCCCCTTGGCTGAGGAACACAGGGTTGTGGTGGATGGCAGGTCTGGCCTCATGGATGAACAGAGGGTTGTGGTGAACTGCAGACCTGGCCCCGAGGCAGGCTCCCAGTGGGGCTTTAATATACATCACAACACTCGCAACGACAGGAGGGCAGGCAGACACGCAGGCTGCAACGTTCCAGGGTCCAGGACAGTCCTTCAGGAAGTAGTGTGAATACTGGCAAATACTCAGTAGTAAGGCCGCCGGGGGTTGTTCTATAGAGGGTAAACAAAGTCGACTTAATACTGAAGTCTGATGGCAGTCCCTTCCATTTGGAACCTTCCAGGGGCAGCTGAACTCATATCCTCAGGATGGAACAGGAGGGAAGGGGGCTTTGGGGAGGAGGAGTCCAATGCAGGCTGACCCAACGGGTCTGGTGAAGAGTGAGGGTGGAGGGGTTGCTGGAGACCTGGCCTCCCCTCCCATGGGGTCGAGAGCAATGAGAGACCTTGTCATGAGTGGCGAGAACGAGCAGGGGTACACACCAGGGGATTAGGCCGGAACCTGTAGGCCAGCATCATCCTTTTGCGAAAGGCCTCGTACTCATCATCCTCTTTAGAAAGCTCAGCTGGCCGGTCAATACCAAAGCCAGCGCCATCCACGGCAGTAGTGCCCCTGCAGGAAAGGGGGCAGGTGTAAACACTGGGCCTAGGGCGGGGGGCATATTAGCACCAACACACACCTCAACTGGGTCTCAGCAGGGGTACCATGCTAGGCTGGATGTACAGACATCAATATGCATGGACACCCCAGAAACAGCAGCTAGGGTGTAACCTAGGCCTTCACCTCCTTCCAGCCCATCTTCATAAGCTGCTGGTACCCAATGTTCCCGCCACCAGCTTGAACTCCTGAGCAGTCAGGCTCATGGCCCTCAATGCCCTGCAGGGCACAGGTGCCATCCGGCCTGAAACCTCTGCCCTCATTCATGGGAGACAATAGGAGCCAGCTATTAAGGACAGAAAAGGTGTTTCCTGCCTACCCCTCACTTGCAACAAGGACAGCCTGCTTGCCCCCCTTTCCTTGGTGGAGAATAATAACAATGCCTCAGCCAGGTCAGCAGGACCAGCATGCCCCCGTGGGAGCATTTATACATATATGTACGTATGTCCACTTGGTCTGAGTGAACACAGGAAAGAAAGCGCAGAATGCACCTTGGGGTGGGAGGGGCTGAAACTGAATGACTCTCCCGCAGCACACCTCATTTTGGACAGTGTGCAGCAGGTCGCTGCCATTGCCTTGTCTAAGAAGAAAAGCTATAACAACGGGGTGAGGGCAAGAGGAGAAAGGGCCCTTGTGCTTGGCCTAAGCTCCTCCTCCATCCAGTGCACTCACTTGCTCATGGGGTTCTTAGTGCCCTGGCCCCTCACCCGCTACCAGTGCACTCACTTGCTGACGGGATTCTTGATGCCCTGGCCCTCAGACCCTAGGCCTTCGCCTTCCTTCCAGCCCATCTTCATCAGCATCTGGTACCCAATGTTCTCCACCGTCAGCTTGAACTCCTTGTACTCCGAGTAGTCAGGTTCACGGCCCTCCTGCAGGGCACAGGTGCGATCAGTCACCAAGCCTCTGAGACCTGCTCCAGCCAACTTCCCACTTCTGTCCTCACTCTTCTGGACAACACCCACCTGTCCCTCACCCAAGGTTGTGGGGTGCCTGGGTGCTAAGCTCCTGGCAGCTGAGACTGGACAGTGACAAACCCCACAGGCTTGCCCATCATAGGGGACAAGAGTCTGCTGCACAGGTTGCTCAACAAAGACCCTGCATGGCTCTGCCTCGCCAGCCCAATGACCCTAGGTGGGAGGGCACCAAGCTTGTCTACAGAGGTCAGTCCACAGGCCTATCAAGATGTACTTCCTTTGCCTGTATATGCACTTAGCTGGTGCAACTGGAAGCAAGTGTCCTGCAGCCCCAGAACATTCCAGTCATGGGTACCCCTTACCTTCAGGGCCTTGAAGGTCTCCATGAACTTCTCCAGTTCATCTGGTGGCAGGAAGTCTCCGATGAAGTGCTTGCCCCGGCCCATCTTGGTTAGCTGTTCGGCCCACTCTGCCGGGGGGAGGAGGAGTAAGAACGGAAGAAAAGGGGAGGGTGCACGTGGCTACAGCTCACTCTTGTAGCTTGTCCTCTGTAGCCACTAAACACATGCAGAGATCTCTGTTTGACGGGAAGTCACCATGGACACCGATGCAGGGGCCTCCAGCCAGGGTAGGCATTGGATCTGGACCCACACAGAGTGCCCAGCCTGTCTGGCGAGGAGTGAGGCCCAGATGCCCCATGGAGCTCCAGCAGCACCACGGAGCCCCATCTACACCCAGCTCCATCCTGCTTGTCTACCCCCCACCTCCAAACCACCCTACTCTGCCCCACCCACCCCGAGTCTTGTCCAT